CACACACACACACACACAATAGGAATAGAAACACACACAAATTAGCATGCAGACTTCGCCCTGTAACTCCATCGCTTCTATCCTCACACATCACATGACCACGTGATCGATTGAACGCGCTCAGGTCCCTAAGGTGACAAAGCTCTTAAAATGTGGCAGCGAGAGTGTGAGGACCCCCGCAGGTCCACTTTGTAAGGCACTGGCCTGGAGCCCCTTTACTGTACTAACAAACACCTACCTCCAGACCAACATTCCCGAGCATAAACACACACACACACACACTACAAACATGCTAGGAACTCAAACAAACACTACCTGCACACACCTCCCTGATGAAAACAAAAAAGAGACACTGGATCATCAAGCTGCTGAAGAAAGCCATGACCACTGAGAGCAAAACTCACCTGCTTGTTTCCATGGCAACTGCAGAACATCTGGATTGCGGAGGAGTGTGGTTGAACATAAACACACACACACACACCCACACACAACACTATAAATATAGATATGTCTATTCTGTAGGTTAAACTGGGCAGGTATCAAGTCATCCAAACTACCTTCAGGAAATGAAATGAGGGAAGGGAAAGGTGAGAGACGGAGGAAGAGTTGCCCACATCTGAGTCAAACCTGAGAGGTCGCGTAGATTAGAAAATCATTCAGATAGCCGGATATGATGCGGAGAAACATGCCTTGTCCTATCGAGCTTTGCTTTAAAACTTGGACCCTCATAGAGGAGTCAAAGAAGGTACTTTTGCAAAGAAAGCGGGCTTTGTAACGGAAGCTGTGCTGCGAGTTTATCGTTCTGGCTCTTAATAGATGAAGCCGTTGGTTCATAAATGGGGGAAAAAAGAAGAGCAAGAGATCCCACCTCTCCCTCTTCTCTCATAGCCATGTATTACTAGTATTAACTGGAGTGATGTTTTCCTTTTTTTTTTTTTTTTTACTAGACTTTTAAAGTGAGCTCTCGGTAGGCAGTTAGTTATTGTAAGTAGTTTAGATGGTGCATACTTTATTATAACGATGATTATTGACTGAGCACTAAGGAGAAAAGGAGCCTTTTAATACACGTGACTGGACTGTCTCACGTTTTAAGAAGACATTTGCCGTCAGTTTATTTTTCACTGGCTCAGTGTTGAAGTCCCACTGCTTACATTTGAGGAATATGTTCAGTAGTCGACGGCGAACAGCGGCCGCTTCCGGAGAGCAGCCAAACGGAAAATGTGTGTAGAGGTTTTTAAACCAGGTTTACAAAGTGAAGGGGACAGTTGACCTCTCCTGACCTCCTCCAGACACTGAATAATAAAATGTTCTGCCAAAGTCTGTTATTGCTTTAAAAGCTCGTCGTCCCACAGAATTTCAACGTCTCCAGTTAGCGGTTGAGCGTCTAAGAAGAATGTGTTTAACATTTTACAACTGTTGGCTTGTTTCCTACATGTTGGACAGGAAAAGTGGCGAAACAAAAGGGGTTGAAGGAACAATTAGAAATTTTGGGAAATAAACGTGAGTGGTAGACAGTGTATTTACCAAAATATCAAACAGGTTGGTTGAAAGAACAATTGAAGTGAATTTATAAAGATGTAAAGATGTGATGACAACTGTCTGAAGCCCTGTGAGTTCAGTAAAGGCAGCTTTCTCTCTGGTAGTTCAAAGTCCTGTCCAGACACAGAAGGAGCTGTGGGAGGTCAAAGGGCATGTGAAAGGATTCTTTCAGCCTACGGACTGTCAGGAAATGCTGCATCTCGTTTCTCATTCCTGCCTCTGAATTGTTCCTCTAGCTTGTGTTCAAGGATTTAAGGCAACCTCATGAACAAATGTAGATGACTGAATGATATTCTGCTGTGGTTATTTGTTTGTGATTTTCTTTTGGGCATCATCTGCTGAATCTCTTCCCTCTTCATAGTCTAGCTGTCTGTGAGTCGCCGCCTTCTCAAGCAGGTCTGGGATCACACGACACGTAGAAACCTTCCTTTAAACTGTGTTCGGTGCTTCTCCACATTTCACACCACTTCCTTTTGTTAGCCGAGGCCTTCAGCGTTCCGTTTGACGCAGCACTGAGCGGGAATCAAAGCGGCCCATCACTACGTTTGGCTTTAAAGTGGCTTGTCTTTTGACTTTGCGTGGACTTTTCTTACATTTGTTTCTTCCTCCAAAAAACTGCTTGTGTGTACTGTATGTGAGAAGTTGTTTACATTGTGGAAAATGAACTGTTTGTGTTTGAGAAATGTTTTTTTTTTTAGAATAAAGAAATGACCAAATTGTACAGTATTTATTATTTTAAAGCAGTTAATCAAACACACCATGGTAATATTATCTGAGAGTTTGGGGTCTGAACAATTGAGAATGACCTGTTATTTCACAGAATGAAGAAATCTGTTGAGTTTGTAATATTGACCTAATTTACACCTACAAGTGTGTACAACTTATCTGTGAGCTTCATGTGCACATCATCTGTTCCCAAATGCCAAGTCTCATCAAAACACCATCTGTTGACTCCCAACAGGTTCGGCCACCTGCAGCTCCCACATTCCTGAGCAGGGCTGGGGACACAGCACTTTGTTGGGCTTCACCTGAGAACCAATGAGTGAATCAGAAGTCTGTCTACAGTCATAAGACAAAAAAAAACATACACCGATATGAAACCGCTTTAAAATAAGATATACAACTCAAATCAACGTGAGCGACATTTAAAACAAACTATATGAGGAAATAGACCAACAGAGCACACTACAAGTAACTGCATAAAGATAACAAAGGATCTGTCTGAAGTGTTACCATGCTGGGTTACCATCAAAGCGGGCGTCTCCCTGTGGGTCCCCGAAACATCCCAGTTATTCCCAGCAATTTAATTGCCAAGTTGTAAACGAATTTGCATCCTTTTCCCTTAGAGTAAAATCAACAGATTGGCTCATAATGGGGTCCTGCATTATGAGCCAATCTGTGGCCTCCTCCTAGAGGGATGCTGTGCAGAAGAAGTTTAATTCTTTTAGTCTATATTGTGCCTACATTGTGCCTGTTCATAACACAACTGCAGACGGGTGAGTATAGGTTGTTTTCTAGGTGTCTGGATAAAGAATAAAGTTATCACATGCAGTCTGAACTGTACCATAGAGTCCTCAGACCTTCATACGGTAAAATAGAGTACAAGTGATCAACAGTGTGCAGGATTTTCTTCTTTAGGTTCTAAATTGTCATGAGACGGACCTGAAAACAAGACTTCCTGCAGTGCAAGAACTTTGTAGTCTTACCTGCTGGCTCAAAAGGGCCCGATAATAAGATTAATGCTGGCAGTCACTACATGATGTTTAACTATTGATATTATCCTACACAAGAACTGTTGTCAGAAAAGTGAGCTTATGAAAATGTATAAATATAACTAGTGCTACAATCCTTTCACACCTGAAAGTGACCCAGTTGTAATTTCCAGTTTCATTCTTTCACACCTGCAGGAAACTTGTCAGTTAAATCATTTTCTCTCAGTGCGCCCCCTACTGCTACTGTGGAGCACTGCCGCTTGTGTCTCACAAATACCAAGGATTGGAACTAGCAGCATGTTTTCATTTTCATGCTGAATCTGAAGGATATATTGGCTTAAAAAAATGCTGTTAGGAAATATTGATGTTTGTCTTTACAGGCTTGGTGCTGTATTAAAATGAAGAGCATATATCTAACTAGGCTATAGTCTGAGAAAACCTTCATTTATTCAGACTCTTAGGCAGAGTGGAGGTCTAGTAAACAGGGAAACTGTAGTTCAAACGGACAATGAACGTCATCAATTCCATGAAAACTAAGCAAACTCCATCTATTGAGGATGATCATGTGATATGAGTGACAGCTTCCGCTACTAAAGGTACCAGGTGGTGAGATTGTGTCATCGAGTGAGAGTTTCCTGGAAGAGCAGAAGATTGTTTGAACACATTTACTTACTTACTTTTCACATGACGGATTTCAGAGGCGGACTATCATTATATCATTGTTTTTATTACTATCATTGTAATTTTTCATCATTTTGTCTTTGCACAAAAAAAACAAACAAATAATACATTTTTCAGGAGTTGATCACCCCTCCCAACCCCAAACCCACCACTACAGTTACAGTTTGCTCAAAACACATTTAAAATCAATGTAAATTACAGCAATGTAAAACGAAAATAATGTAAAATAAAATCAACCCTGAAAGAGATAATATAACAGCAACAGCCAGAATAATAATTAGAATCCAATACCCAGCACCTTAATACAATGATCAACTTTTAAAGAAAAATCTGACGTATTAAAAACTGAAAGAAATAATAAAACGACAGTGTGTCATTGTGATAGAAAGAAAGAAAAGTGTTAAGTTAGGTACAACCAGCTGACGGGACCCAGCAACGTCCCCTTTTCTCTAACCCCCGAGTGTGTGTGTGTGTGTGTGTGTGTGTTTTTCTTCTGCTTCGACAAACTGGAGCGTCAATGCAAAAAAAGAGAGAGAGAGAGACAGGAAGTGGCTTCTTCTTGTTTGTGGGTTTTGAATGCGAACGTGAGCTCTGATATGAAAAGAACGTTTTTGACGAAGAAGCCGTTTCCTGCGTTCTCTCTCTGCTTCAAGCCATTCTGGACCGATAAGGCCTTTAAAAAAAAACAAAAACAAAATAAAAAACTCTGCTGTTACTCGGTTTAAGGACCCTCTCCACCCTCCACCTGTGCCGCACAAACGTCCCCTCCCTTCCCCAAAATGAACATTTAAAAACTCCACCTGGTCCATTCTTCCACCACCCTCCCTCCTCCCCTCTCACACACACACCACACTCAAAACACCACCCTCTCCCTGTAATTTCAAACTGAACTCAGCACAAACACAATCCATCTTTTTCACCTCTTCCACCTCCCTTTTTCTTCCTCATTTTTTAATTTCTCTCATGCATCTCAAAGTCCGAGGAGGCCAGTTAAACTTGATGCCGTCATCGATTGTTCGGGCTTCAAACCCTTCAAGTCCGTAACTTTTGTTTTTTTCCTTTAATGGCTTTTGAAAATAAAAAAAAGAGTTTGTGCACTGGAAAAGAGGGGCATATGGGAAACTGGGGAGGGATGGACTGTTCATGGACGGGGTTGTTGGATGGATTTTATGTTGCCTTTCTTTATAGAATTAAACTTGGGTTGTTTTTGTTAGCACATAATGCTCAAATGATTTATTTTGTACTTTTTTTTTTTTTGTTAATGTTGGGTATCGCTTCGGTTGGCATCACGCCTTCATATCCAGAATGTCAACCCTGAACCGACGCATTTCTTGTCAACCCCCTTCCCCCACCCCCATCCCCCCTCTCTGCTACATGTGTTCCCAAAGAGCAAACCACACAAATAAGGTGTCTTTGGAGGTATGTAACAAACAGTATGTGTGTGTGTGAGTGTATTATAAAAGATCACTGGAAAAAAAACAAAAACAACAAAAAGAATCGACAAGGGACGACGACGACGAATGGTGAAATGTTTTCTTCTACTTTTGATTTGATAATATATTTTTGTGTCGTTGGAAAACTGGGTTTGTACAGATTTGGATATGCGGGCTGGGGGGGGGGGGGGGGTGAAGGGTCACATCAGATCGGATCATATCATTGCTGGCCTTTTCAGTGTAGTGCACCTTTAACACAACACACACATTTAACTCAGCTCATAGTGTCTCAGATTAAACATAAACCCCCTCCACCCGCCCCACCCCAAGCGCAGGCAGGAGTTATCGATGTATTTAATGATGTTTGGTGGTGGTGGTGTCGACTACTGCTCGTTCATCTTTGGCCATTTTTTTTTTTCATCTGGTTGTTTTT